AAAGTGAACGACATGTGAACGGTAGGTGAACAGAGGTGAACAGAGGTTGGCGTTGGGTGAACATAAAATGAATTATGAATTGATGAATGTAAATAACTTTTGAAAAAAAATGTTTTCTATTGCAAAAGCCAATGATGAACTTTTTTGTTGAAAGTACTGTAGCAGAAATTTTTCATTAATTTATCGTGAATTAATATTCTAACAAACTATATAACGTCATGTCTGTAATAATAATTTTAATAAATGCAACACGAATGAGATTGAAGGACTTTGTTTACCTTTACTTTCATTTATTAATTTTTTTTACGAGCCGCTTTATTTGTCCAACAGTGTGTTTATCACTTATTACCCCATTCTTTTCTAAACTTCATCTCTCTCTCTCTCTCTCTCTCTCTCTCTCTCTCTCTCTCTATTTTGTTCTTTTAAAACACCATAAAAAATCATTCCTCTAATTAGATACTAACTAACATATGTGTAAATTTAAAATACAAGAAAACCACATAGAAATATCACCGAATGTAAAAATTAAGGCAACTTTTGTATTAGCCATAGAGTAGAATGACATTCAAGCATTAATAAATATCAAAACTGTCGGTACACATGCTAGTTATGGATTAAATTAAATGGCATAAGCGATAAATAGGAAAAGTTTTTCTTAATTCTCTCTCTCTCTCTCATCCTCTCTCTCTCTCTCTGTTTCTCTCCTTTTTCTCCTCTTTCATTTACTCTTTCCATATATGCATACTCACACACACACACACACACACACACACACACACACACACACACACACACACACACACACACACACACATATATATATATATATATATATATATATGCGCTTTAAATGCAGTATAGAAATGCATGTGGGTTATAATCCGTACATGCTAAATGGCAGGCAGCATGAAACAACAACTCTCAAAATTGATGGATGATGATGATATTTATTTATGTGTTTGTATGTGCGTGTGTGTATATGCATGTTCATGTTGGCGTGTCTTGGTGTGTATGTGTGTTGTGTTGTCTATATAAGTGTGTGTCGGTTTTTAAGTTTTTGGAAATGACTGCACGTGAGTTTTTTTTGTCTATCTGTATACATATTATTATGTAGATGGGTATATATACACATGTGTGTGAAACATGTTTGTTCATATTTATGTAGATCCAGGTGTTTATATTTGCATGTAAGAGTGTAAACGTGTGTGACTACGTTTGAGTACGTGTGCATCTCTGTCTGTGTATGTGTGTGTACGTGTGTGTGTGTGTGTGTGTGTGTGTGTGTGTGTGTGTGTGTGTGTGTGTGTGTGTGTGGGTTCGTTAACTTGAATAATGGGATAATTCCGACTTTCAAAACTTACGAAGCTGTGTTTATTTTATGTGGATATATCGAGACAACAGTATATTTGAGAGAGCAAGCGAAATAGGCAAGTGAGAGAGAGAGATAGAGAGAGAGAGAGAGAGAAAGAGAGAGAGAAAAAAAGAGAAAAAAAAGAGAGAGATAGAGAAAAAAAAAGAGAGTGAAAGAGAGGGAGAGAGAAAAGAAAATTCATGAATGTGAATGTGAGCGTTATATAGATACATGGGATCTATACTCGTATTCATGAAAATGTATGCAACGTGTGCGTGCATGTTATGATTCACCACTTACCTCCTCATGTGGTTTATGGCATGTTTATTTATATTTTTTGAACGCACTCTTTTGATTTCGACATGTATCAGGCACCCGCCTTTGTATCAGCGGTGTTTATGTGTTTACAATACACAAAAATTATAATTTAATACTGATTTAATTTTAATTATATTTAAACAACTCACTGCATTTTATCGTTAAACATAGAAATAGATTCTCCAATTTTGAACGCGTACTGAATGAAGTCTGCCAAACTTGCTCTGATGCGAAACACATCAAAAATGGGCGTCCAATGAAAGAACTTATTCAAAAATATTGACTATTTGCCATCTGTGTCGAATCTAAATCACAGGACACAAAGTACATAAACACATTTTAACAGTTTTTTGTTGAAACACAAATTCGTTGAAATGGTTATGTCCAGAATTTAAATCATTTTGTTGCAATATCATCAACCGTTTCATAATCATATTCACCAGCATTATCATCACCACCATCATCATCACTATCATAAACACAACCATCATCGTCAACATCATCAGCATCACTATCATCATCATCATCATCTCCATAATCATCATCAGTATCAGTGCAATCTTCTAAACTTTCTTTCGCACTATCCGTCATTCAACATAAACGTGCCGTGCGGTGGTGAGTTGAATGAATGGATGGCTGGTTAGATAGCTAGTTGAATGGATGGCTGTTTGAATGGCTGGTTGGATGGCTGGTTGGAAGGCTGGATGGATAGCTGGATGGATAGCTGGATGGATAGCTTATTAAATGGCTGGTTGGATAGCTGGTTGAATATCTGGTTGGATAGTTGGTTGAATGGATGGTTGAATGGCTAGTTGGATGGATGGATAGTTGGATGGATGGTTGGTTGGTTGGCTAGTTGAATAGCTGGTTGGATGGCAGGTTGAATGGATGGTTGAATGACTAGTTGGATGGCTGGTTGGTTGGATGGCTGGTTTCTACTTACGACCAAAAGCATTTCATTTCCAAACATTGTTTGGAAATTCGATCCCAATTTTGGTCTACGAGATGAATCAATGTCGAAGGCACCGCGTTCGACAGCAAGGCTTATCTCCGAAGATCAAACTAACCTGCGTTGTTGTTTATTCTTCACGGTGTATATTAAAACAACATCAAAATTAGTTGGAAAAATCTTGCTTTGTTTAAAACTTGTGAATAATATTATCATTAAAAAATCATTAATTATATTATTTTAGTTATATCTATGAAAATGATAATTAATAAAATTAATGAATAATTGTGACTAATTATGAATAATTATTCGTTTATTAGACATTTTACTTTATAATGCGACACTGTTGGACCCTGGCCTATAAATGTGTTGATTGATTTAAATGCTGGAGAAAAGTTTTCAATATATCTATATTGAAGTAATGAAAGAGAAAGAGAGAGAGATAGAAAGAAAAAGAAAGAAAGAGAGAAAGAGAGAGAGAGAGAAAAAAGTGAGTGTGTGTGTGTGTTTGTGTGTGTGTAGTGTGTATGTGTGTGTGATTGTGTGTAATACATTGAATGGCGAAAGCATGGGTTTTGATTACGAATTTCAAT